CGAGGTGATAACACGGACAACCAAGATTAAATGTGCATACGCATACACTTACCTTACACACATGTGTATTTTTAGTCTTCATTTTTCCATGGGAATGTGTATTTTTTTTAGTTATGATGAAGTCGGCCGTAACCTCCTTCAGAGAGTAATTTCTGAAACGTCAGCAAGACAAAAAATAGGCCTCGACCTGATTACATCTTCCCCGGGCCCAAGGATTGTCCAAGGCTCAAAGCCATCACTCTAGAGGCTCCGACCGACCGTCAAGGTGAGATGGTGATTTTGCATTGGTTGACAATGGCGGTGCATGGATGCACGGGAAACTGCTACTCCCTCCGTAAACAAATATAAAACGCTTTAGAGACTTGACACGTAGTAGCTAGCAACATAACCGTTGACTGTTAAGAGGGCTAAAGACCAGTTGAGCCGGAGAGAACAAAGAAGCTATGGATCGAAGAAGCAAAAGGCAAATAGAGGAGAAGGATCACAAACGAAAATGACGAGGTCACGAGGAAGCAACATCTCATCTGACCAGCACCCTTTGCCAGCGGTGATTGACCACGTGGAAAGCAAGAAAACCAATTTACCCGTTGGAGGAAGAGGAACACTGGCACACATCCGACGTGGCACCACGGTACTAGCCACTATGCACACATAAGCCCAAATCCGGATGCTTCTTCCCTTAGTTCTATTGGTTGGGCTTCTCTCACTATCCGTTGTGGCTGCATTATTTCCGTTTGGATCTATATCAGCATTATTGTACTCCTAGCAGTAGTTAATTGTGCTTTGAATCTTTGACAGTCAGACTGATTCCGGTTGGTGGTCGTCATGCATTAGGGACATGGATACGTAGATAACATGACCTGTAAGCGACCGATACCCACAAGACTGTGGCCCCGAAATTGCATCCATTATTGTTTTTTAAGCCCCTTGTACATGAGTCCAGAACTCCAGGTCCATGATGCAGAATTGTTCTTCGTGTATGTGCTGCACGACCATGTCCAATAATTGTCTTGACAACTTGGGTTTCTAAATTAATTTTAGTTATAGTTTTTCTTATTTATTTTTCTGAAATAACTCCTCACCCATTATATTAATTAAGATAAAGTTAGTATTTATTAAAAAATAGCAATATCATGGGCAACCCTATTGCATCTCTGTTAACCTTGACCAAGGGATCTTGTTGTAGGAGCCGGCTATCTCCAACGCCTCTCAGTTTAAGTCCACGAGAGGGCTGACCTCATAACTTTTTGCAATAAGGCAGTCAGAGTCCAAGATGATAGGATTATGCATCGCCGAAGCAACATTACATCCTGCCAAGCTTGCATGGAGCTCCGCTTCCTCCACACTCAACACGCTATGTGGAAATCACACGGTGACAAAAGGACCACCCCCTCATAATCTATCACCACAACTCCAATGCTAGCAAAACCTTCATCGGCCATGAAGTTAGCATTGACATTGATCTTGATTATCCCTACAGGAGGCGCCTCCCAGGCCATACATAGTAACATGTCTAAAGGGATGCCAACCTGCTCAACAACCAATTTACCTTTATCAAGGCCGGAAGCAAACGTATCTTTTGAAGCCACCTTGGAAGACACTCAAAGATTATCCGGAATGTAATCCATGTTGAAATAATTTTTGGGACAGAGGGAGTAGAAGTTAAGAAGCACAACAACAATTCGGAGCTAGGACAACTACCCCCAAATTACAAAGAAGCGTATGCAGGAAAAAACGCACACGAACAAGCCCACATAATTGACACAACTTGGCAAGCCAGTATATATATTGGTTTCGCTTCTCCCACATGTACTGTACTGATGCATTGTTGGTTTTCTATTAGATCCATCAGCATTATTGCACTAGCTAATTGTTGCTTTGGATCTTGGTAGTTTGATTCTGGTTGGTGGTTGTCATGTACTCCTACTGTATTACGGAGATGGATAAACCGGAAGCAACCGATTCCGCGATATTGTGGGCCCCTAAACGATATCCATTATTGCACATTTTTAAGGGCCTTCTATTAGTCCAAATCGATGATTTGGTTCTTTTTGTCAACAAAACATGTGATGCACGATGGTGACCAATAGCTGTCTGCATGTAGCAGTACCAACATTTTTTCTAGAAGGAAACATGTGATTCACGGTTACCTCTAATCAATAACCGTGTTGACAATTTCACCTTCTAGATTAGTTGTAGTTATCACGATGTACCTTGTTAGTTGTTACACCGCCTTGAGTTAGGGACCTTTCATACGCGACAATATATATTTAATTCCACACATGTATTTTTTTGAAGTTATGAAGTCGATCGTAACTGATAAAACTCAAATGGTAAGCAACTACAATATATATGTCCATGAATGGACGCATTGCACAAACACGACGATTACATAGAGGTGTGACAGTTGTGGAGAGAGAGAGAGAGAGAGAGAGAGAGAGACGTGTCGGTTTCCAAAGGGCATACGACAGTTGACAAGGGGAGATTTTCCATGTCAATTCATCATAATCCCTTAGAAAAGAATATACTTCCTTCTTCTCAAAGTATAAAGCACGCTTGACTATGGTGAAACAATAACCTCCTTTGGCAACCACCTCCTGGTATGCGGGCAAGACGAAAAATAGGCCTTAACCTGGTTACGACTTCTCTGGCCTCTAGGGTTATCCCAAGCCATCACTCTAGACGCTCGGGAAGTGACATGATGGCGAATTTGCATTGGCACCACATGACAAGGCACTATGCATAAGCCGATTCCGGATGCTTCTCTTCGTTCTTAGGGCTGTGTCTCTCTCGTCTATTATAGCTGCATTATTTTGTGTTTGGAGCTATCAACATTATTGTACCATTAGTTAATTGTGCTTTGAATCTTTGACAATTAGATCGATTCCGGTTGGTGGTTGTCATGCATTAGGGAGATGGATAAGTGGATAACATGACCTGTAAGCAACCGATGCCCACAAGATTGCGGCCCCGAAATTGTATCCATTATTGGTTTTTAAGCCCCTTGTACATGAGTCCAGAACACTCCAGGCCGATGATGTAGCAATGTTCTTCGGTAAAAGAAGCATGCATATGCTGCACAACCATGCCCAATAATTGTCTTGACAACTTGGGTTTCTAAATTAATTTTAGTTATAGTTTTTCTTATTTATTTTCCAGAAATAACCCCTCACCCATTACATATTACTTAAGATAAAATTATACAATCGGTTACTACAAAATATGTCACACAGGACGGAACAGCCCTACCCAAAGCCCATCAGCTCTAGTATTTGTAAAAAAGTTAGCAATCTCATGGGCAACCTTATTGCATCTCTTAACCTTGACCAATGAAACTTGTAGGAGCCGGATATCCCCAACACCTCTCATTTTAAATCCATGAGGGCTGACCTCATTAGACAAATAATTTTTGCAATACGGCAATCAGGGTCCAAGATGATAGGATTTTTTTTCAAAAACGGAATGACCCCAGCCTCTACATCATCATGATGCACACATTCATCAGATGACAGGATTATGCATCGCCGAAGCAACATGACGTTCTGCCAAGCTTGCATGGAGCTCTGCGTCCTCCACACTGTGTGGAAATCACACGGTGACAAAAGGACCACCCCCTCATAATCTATCGCCACAATTCCAATGCTAGGAAAACCTTCGCTGGCAATGAGGCTAGCATTGACATTCTACAGGAGGCGCCCCCGAGGCCATACATAGTAACAAGTTAAAAGGGGTGCCAACATGCTCAGCAACCAATTTACCTTTATCAAGACGGGAAGGAAGAGTATCTTTTGAAACCACATTGAAAGGCACCCAAAGATTATCCAGGAAAATAATACATGCCAAAATGGATGCCTTGCCGTCCCCAAATATCACATTACAGGATAACATGTCACTAGTGATCATCTATAACTGGTAATTGTGTTGGCATTTTGAGTTTACATATACATAATTTTTTAGGTTAGGGGATCCTTATATTTCGTCGACGTCCGTTACACACATATGTAGTTTTTAATCAAGGAAGTCCTCTTCGCCAAGCATTTTCCAAAAGCAAACAAGGAGATAAAATGAATTGCCGTCCATGTGTTCACTCACGGTTGTATCTCCTTCCATCTATAGGGTGCTCTGAACCCCACACCTGTCGACTTCCACTCGGCAAGCAACTAGACAATGTAATATTGGTTAACATTTGGTATCGAACACACATGCACACCCTCATTAGAAAAATACAGGTACGTGCAATAGCGAGGTCGGTCAATGTAACTCTTCACAAGTTATTTCCAAAAACGAATCCGATAAAACACGCCTAAACCTATTCCTTCATGATTACATCTTCTTTGGGCTTTAGGATTGTCCCAAGCCACGACTTTAGATGCTTGGGCCGCGTCAGAGTTGGAGAATTCATGGTTGTTGTCAAAGGTGATGTGCATGGAGGAACCGGTTGTCAAAGACCAATAAAACACGCGTCTGGTTGTAAAATTGAACATAGTAGCCAACTCAAAACTAAGATAGGAAAGAAATGTCCAAAAGCTATCGAGCAATGTACATGCGCGCGCACACATACATGGAGAACCAACCTGTTGTTGGATGATGATACCAGTAGCTGTATACAATCTTTTCTCCTCCCTATTCGGAACCTAATTAATATAGGGTGTCTAGCAATGGACTGGATCGCAGCAACTTTCCTAAAACGAAATGGATCCGCCGATCTTCTTGGGTCAATGCCCCCCTACCCTTGATCCAGTTCCCTTCTAAAAAAAATACTGTGGAATGGAAAATAAAAATGGCCTTCCTTTTCCTTGGCATCCCTGGTCTGGTTGGCCCACGCAGAGGCTAGTCGCCGCATCCTACGCACGCGCTTGCATCCCGCGCCTTGCCATTTTTACTCTCCCCGCCAACTATAAATCGCGCTCGCCGGGGGGAGCCATGCCTATCCATTCCTTCCACCCGTCGACCGATCCGCCGTAATCGATTCATAGAAATTTTCTTGGAAATCGTCGTCGATGGAGTCCCGGGCCATTAGCCCCGGCGAGACGGCGCTGCCGTACGCGTACGCGCCGCTGGCCCCGTCCGACGTCGCGGAGGAGCGCCGGGGCGGCGGCGGTGGGGTGAGGTGGCGCGCGTGCGTCGCCGTGCTCGCCGCGTCCGCCGTGGTGGTGCTGGTCGTGGCCAGCGCGCTGGCCGGGTCCGGCAGGGTGGACCGGGTCGTGGGCGGCGACGTGGTCGCGGACATGCCGCCGCTGGCGGAGACGGCGCGGAGCCGCGGCCGGGACGCCGGCGTGTCGGAGAAGACCTCCGGGGCGGCGGACGAGATGGTGGGGCTCCTCGGCGCCGGCGGCGACGCCGACGGGTTCCCGTGGAGCAACGCCATGCTGCAGTGGCAGCGCACCGGCTTCCATTTCCAGCCCGAGAAGAACTGGATGAACGGTACGTGCACGATCCATCCATTCCTCCATTAATCCCTTCCTTTTCCGGCGATTCAGATTCACATGAATTCCATTAATTTCTACGCGTTGTTAATCCGATCGATCAAGAAGCTGACTGGCTTTGCTCTTTGTTTGCTGGCGGCGATCGGCGGCGGCCTCCTCCCACTCCGGCGATGGACATGGATGCATGCATGCAGATCCCAACGGTTAGTACTCCTCGTCAACCGGTCCATGGATAGAATATTCTCGTTCAGCATCTCTTTTACCACTCGCTCGATGGCCGGCTGTCGCGGAAATTATTACCGATCGGAGTAGATAGATAACTCAAGCATCTTTTTGGGTATTTTGACTGAATCTGGATCGAGCTTGCAACGGCAGGTTAGTTGGTTTGGTTAGTTGTCAGAAAAGAAACCGAACGCAGAAATAAAACCGCGCGTGCGTCCGTGTTGCATGCACGTCTATAGCTACCTAGCTAGCAACGTGCCAGCAGATCCACAACAAAAGGTAGAAATAAAAACGGCCAGCACAGTGATCATCATGTGTCTCTCATGTACATACACATCTGTTCAAACTTCTTATTTGCTGTTGTAAATTACATCTGTTCAAACTCCTTTTTGTATTCAAACTCGATAGGTCATGCATGCACATCATATGGGTCCGCCAACGCAGCTACAGAGATGTGCCAACAAAGCACCCGTGATCATCTCGCAAAAAAAAAGAAAATCCGCCACCCACATGGGCGCGCACGTCCACCTAATCACCGAATCGATCTTTAATTTCATAATGATCTAATTTGATTTCTTTGTGTTGCATCGCAGGTCCCGTGTACTACCGCGGATGGTACCACCTCTTCTACCAGTACAACCCGGAGGGGGCGGTGTGGGGGAACATCGCGTGGGGCCACGCCGTGTCCCGCGACCTCATCCACTGGCGCCACCTCCCCCTCGCCATGGTGCCCGACCAGTGGTACGACATCAACGGCGTCTGGACCGGCTCCGCCACCGTGCTCCCTGACGGCTCCCTCGTCATGCTCTACACCGGCTCCACCAACACCTCCGTGCAGGTCCAGTGCCTCGCCGTCCCCGCCGACCCCAACGACTCCCTCCTCCGCAACTGGACCAAGTACGAGGCCAACCCTATCCTTGTCCCGCCGCCCGGCATCGGCGACAAGGACTTCCGCGACCCCACCACCGCATGGTTCGACGAGTCCGACAAGACCTGGCGCACCGTCATCGGCTCCAAGGACAACCACGGCCACACCGGCATTGTCATGACCTACAAGACCAAGGACTTCATCAACTACGAGCTCATCCCCGGTCTGCTCCACAGTGTCCCCGGCACCGGCATGTGGGAGTGCATCGACTTCTACCCCGTCGGCGGCGCCGATGGCTCGGAGGAGCTGTACGTGATGAAGGAGAGCAGCGACGACGACCGCCACGACTGGTACGCGCTCGGGAGGTACGACGCCGCGGCCAACAAGTACACGCCGATCGACGCGGAGATGGACGTGGGCATCGGGCTGAGGTACGACTGGGGCAAGTTCTACGCGTCCAAGACCTTCTATGACCCCTCCAAGAACCGCCGCGTGCTCTGGGGGTGGATCGGCGAGACCGACTCCGAGCGCGCCGACGTCGCCAAGGGATGGGCGTCCCTCCAGGTAACGAACCAATATTTGTGTCAAATTCCTTTTACCATGCGATATAGTCGTCGCCGTTCTCTCTGTCATGCATGCATATGGATTGGATTGGGTTGAAGAACATGTCGCTGTAGCTCGCGTGCTTGATTAGCTAGCTGTCGCGGTCTCGTCGTTGCACGTTTCTTTCTTGCTTAACCACCTACCAATAGCAGCTGGTTGTAGCTAGGTCGCTGCTGGAGATTGAAATCTTCAGCTTTAAGATGACAGCTACAACGACATGGTCGGTCGCCCGGTCGTGATCGCGTACTACAATTTACTGGAAAAATGTTTTGAAAACGTGCATGCATGTTCCCTCCAAACTTTTGTTAATTCCAGTTGACCAAACAACAAACAAACGCGTAGTACATTTTCTTCTCCAATCTGTACAAGTTTGCCCTTTTTGTGAATCTTTTAATCCTCGTGGTACGCGAGACATGTTAATTAATCACTGACCTACTTATCAATGGATCTCTAACATATTAGGCCGGCTGCCTTTGCTCTGATCGATAGGTTGGTTAATGAGTGCAGATCAAGCCTGCTTGTTTCTCTCCAAACACGGCAACTTGTGCAGCCCTACGGCTACGACACATGTGCACGCCACGTCGATCCCACGTGTAACCATGTGCCTTAGATAAATATATGGATTGGGTGTTGACCGTTGCTATGATTGAGGGACGACGCAACCGTATCTTAATTTGTCCGGTCCCGGCTAACCACCAAATTCAAACTTTATGTCTGGAGTTGTGGATCTCTATGTTACCCTACTTAAATCAATTATTACCACTTGGTCGTGCAACCCCATTTTCTATGCTTATGTGTGAGGCATCTCACACCATTGCTATTCATGTTTCTTTTTCCCCAAGTTTTTGTTTCCAACGTGCTTTGTTCATGATTGATTCGATGGTACGAGTGACAGGATGGTTTATCTAAAACTAATCTATGTATGTGCATTTGTCATGCAGTCGATCCCGAGGACGGTGGAGCTGGACGAGAAGACCCGAACCAACCTCATCCAGTGGCCCGTGGTCGAGATCGAGACGCTCCGCATCAACTCCACCGACCTCGGCGGCACCACCATCGACACCGGCAGTGTGCTCCCTCTCCCGCTCCGTCGCGCCACCCAGCTCGACATCGAGGCCACCTTCCACCTTGACACCTCCGCCATCGCTGCCGTCAACGAGGCTGACGTCAGCTACAACTGCAGCACCAGCGGTGGTGCTGCCAACCGTGGCGCTCTCGGTCCTTTCGGACTCCTCGTCCTTGCTGACGGTGCCCTCAAGGAGCAGACGGCGGTGTACTTCTACGTGTCGAGGGGCCTCGATGGGGGCCTCCAGACCCATTTCTGCCAGGACGAGTCACGGTCGTCGCTAGCCCAGGACGTCGTGAAAAGGGTGGTCGGCTTCACCGTGCCTGTGCTCGACGGTGAGGATCTATCCCTCAGGGTGCTGGTGGACCACTCGATCGTGGAGAGCTTCGCCATGGGTGGAAGGTCCACCGCGACATCGAGGGTGTATCCAACGGAGGCCATCTACGCCGCCGCTGGCGTGTACCTTTTCAACAACGCCACCGGCGCTGCCGTCACCATGGAGAAGCTCGTGGTGCACGAGATGGACGACTCCTACAACCAGATCTTCACGGCCGACGATGCCTCAGCCGCCTTGTAGCTGCAATTAATCAAGCTCTTGGCCCGGTAATGCATACTCACCCATACTACATATTATGATTCGATTGATCGCATTGATCGATCGGCGACTTCCTCCCTCATGGATGGATGGAGATGGAGTACTAGCTACTCTAGTCATCCTCCTGTTTGTTTGTTGTTTTTTCTTCCTTTTGGATTTTGGGTTTTTGGTGAGATGAATTAGTTAGATGATTTGTTGGCAGGATGATTACTGCCTTCCAAGCGTAACTATTGGCAGGATGGATATGTATCCTGCGGCTGGACTATGATGATGATGATGATGATGATCATATTGATCAATCAATTGTAAATGAAATTATTGGGGAAAGAGCGGGGTACGCGTGTGCGCTGCCACCAATTTTTCGAAATGAAATTTTCTGACTTCCAACTTGTACGCACGGTGCTAACACTGCATGGATTTAATCACAATTTAATATCTGCTGTCCACTCGATCTAGAGCCCGTGTGGTAAGATTTCTGAATTGGTGTAACTAGGACAGTTTCTTTCTTTCTGATGTCTTATTGGTACTGTATTCTCTTGGGGCCCCTTCTTCTTCTTTTTGCAGGGTAGGGGCGTAAATGAAAAAGAAAACAGTTAACCAAGCAAGGAGATTAATAGATAACCGTATGTAGTGTGTAGCTTACGGTTCAACTACATTTGATTTATTTTTTTGACATGACATTCGAAATTTCGATGGAAGGTTCGATGTCTGATCCTCATTTTTTTTTGCCTTTGTCTGATTGTCTAAAAAACTGCCCAATAACGCCACAAATCTTGAGGATCAGACATTGGCCAAAAAAAGTCTTTATTGTGCTGTACCAGGACAGCCGGTTTCATTCGGTCACATAATTCAGCCTGCTACGCTATACAGGAACTAGCTTCAATGCGGTGCAGTTTTGGCCCGTTCACACATGCTGGCTGAAGCAATAATTGCAAATGGGCCTCTGCAGCCAGAGCCAGTTTTAGTGAAATATTTTTCAACCCCAAAAAATAGTGAAATATTTTTCATTCTACTTTTCTACTTATATTCAATAATATTTTACAACTACACATAATCAAGTATAATAAGTCATATGTATTTTAATTTCAGTTCATGTGTTACTAATCTAAATATTTATATTCCACACAATCAAATCTCAATGATTTTTTTTGATTCCGTGGCAACACGCAGGATATCATCTAGTTAGCTAACGGACTGCTGCATATAACAGGGAACTGCAACGGTGTGTTTCTTTCAGTTTTGGGAACATTCTATAAGCTTTCTTCACTTGTTTTAATTTTTATTTTCCCTTAGTTTCTTGTTTTTCTGTTTGGTTCTTTATAATCTATATTGTGTTTATTTTAACAAAATAATGATTAGTTTTTTCAAGTTTTCATTTTTAATATTAACTATCTTTTTTTCAAAATCATGAAATGATTTGAAATTCACGAACGGTTTTTAAATTCATGAGTTTTTTTACATCTTTTGAAGTATGATTTTTTTAATCTATAAAAAAGGGTATCTGGTTTTTTCATGAACCAATGGTTGGCTAGCAAGAGAAAGAGCGATTTTTGTATATAGCAAGCAAAACTACCTCAATGGACCGCCCTTCCAACATATGCATGAGCTCCAGGCACGAACTTCGATGCCTCAAGCATCAAGGAAGAAAGTCTATACTATGAGCGTCTTTATCAAAACCATTAATTCTTGTTGGCATGCCGGAAGAATAAGCAGACTACTACAAATGAATGTGTGATACGTCTATTTTGTATCATGTTTTTACTGTTATTTATAATGTTTTTGTCATTATTTCATTTTATGATGCAATTCTAATGTCTTTTTCTCTTCATGTTTGTTTGTTGTTTTTTCTTCCTTTTGGATTTTGGGTTCTTGGTGAGATGGATTAGTTAGATGATTTGTTGACAGGATGATTACTGCTTTCCAAGTGTAACTATTGGCAGGATGGATATGTATCATGTGGCAGGACTATGATTGATGATGATGATCATATTGATCGATCAATTGTAAATGGAATTATTGGGAAAGAGCGGGGTACACGCTGCCACCAATTTTTCAAAATGAAAATTTTATACTACATGGATTTAAACATAATTTAATTTCGATTGTCCACTTGATATGGAGCTTGTATTATAAGATTTCTGAATTGTTGTAACTAGGACGATTTATTTCAATCCGTCGTTTTGTTTGTTCTGTATTCTCTTGGGGGCCTGATGGAAATATGCCCTAGAGGCAATAATAAAGTTGTTATTTATATTTTCTTATATCATGATAAATATTTATTATTCATGCTAGAATTGTATTAACCGGAAACTTGATACATGTGTGAATACATAGACAAAACAAAGTGTCCCTAGTAATGCCTCTACTTGACTAGCTCGTTAATCAAAGATGGTTAAGTTTCCTGACCATAGACATGTGTTGTCATTTGATGAACGGGATCACATCATTAGGAGAATGATGTGATGGACAAGACCCATCCCTTAGCTTAACATAATGATCGTTAAGTTTTATTGCTATTGCTTTCTTCATGACTTATACATATTCCTTTGACTATGAGATTATGCAACTCCCGAATACCGGAGGAAACGTCACAACGTAACTGGGTGATTATAAAGATGCTCTACAGGTTCTCCGAAGGTGTTTGTTGGGTTGGCATAGATCGAGATTATGATTTGTCACTCCAAGTATCGGAGAGGTATCTCAGCTGGGCCCTCTCGGTGATGCACATCATGATAAGCCTTGCAAGCAATGTGATTAATGAGTTAGTTGCGGGATGATGCATTACAAAACGAGTAAAGAGACTTGCCTGTAATGAGATTGAACTAGGTATGAAGATACTGACGATCGAATCTCGGGCAAGCAACATACCGATGACAAAGGGAATGACGTATGTTGTCATTGCGGTTTGACTGATAAAGATCTTCGTAGAATATGTAGGAACCAATATGAGCATCCAGGTTCCGCTGTTGGTTATTGATCGAAGATGTGTCTCGGTCATGTCTACATAGTTCTCGAACCCATAGGGTCCGCACGCTTAACTTTCGATGACGATTTGTATTATGAGTTATGTGTTTTGGTGACCAAAGATTGTTTGGAGTCCTGGATGAGATCACGGACATGACGAGGAGTCTCGAAATAGTCGAGAGGTAAAGAGTGATATATTGGACGATAGTATTCGTACACCAAAATGGTTTCGGGGCGTTTCGGATATTTATTGGAGTACTGAGGGGTTACCGGAACCCCCAGGGAAAGTAATAGGCCAACATGGGCCATAGGGGGGAGAGAGGGCAGCCCACAAGGGGTGGCACCCCCCCCCATGGGCAGTCCGGATTGGACAAGGGAGGGGCCGCGGCCCCCCTTTCCTTCCCCCTCTCCCTCTCCTTTCCCCTTTCCCCCTCCAAGAGAAGGAGGGAGGTGACTAGGACTAGGAGTCCTAGTGGGTCCCCCCACTTGGCGCGCCCCCTAGGGTCGGCCTCCTCCCCTCTCCTCTATATACGGGGGCAGGGGGCACCCCAAAGCACATCAGTTGTTCTCTTAGCCGTGTATGGTGCCCCCTGCACAGTTTACTCCTTCGGTCGTATTGTCGTAGTGCTTAGGCGAAGCCCTGCGCGGATCACATCACCATCACCGTCACCACGCCGTCGTGCTGACGAAACTGTCTCTCGACACTTTGCTGGATCAAGAGTTCGAGGGACGTCATCGAGTTGAATGTGTGCAGAACTAGGAGGTGCCATACGTTCAGTGCTTGATCGGTTAGATCGCGAAGACGTTCGACTACATCAACCGCGTTAAGCTAATGCTTCCACTTTCGGTCTACAAGGGTACGTGGACACACTCTTCCCCTCTCGTTTGTATGCATCTCCTAGATAGATCTTGCGTGATCGTAGGAAATTTTTTGAAATTGCATGCTACGTTCCCCAACAGTGGCATCTGAGCCAGGTCTATGCGCAGATGATATACACGAGTAGAACACAAAGAGTTTTGGGCGATCATAGTCATACTGCTTACCACCAATGTCTTATTTTGATTCAGCGGTATTGTTGGATGAAGCGACCTGGACCAACCTTACATGACCACGTTCATGAGACCGGTTCCACCGACAGACATGCAACTTTTTTTTGCATAAAGGTGGCTGGCGGGTGTTTATTTCTCCGACTTTAGTTGAATCGAATTTGACTATGGCCGGTTCTTGTCGAAGGTTAAAACAGCAAACTTGACGATCGTTGTGGTTTTGATGCGTAGGTAAGAACGGTTCTTACTAGAAGCCTATAGCAGCCACGTAAAACTTGCAACAACAAAGTAGAGGACGTCTAACTTGTTTTTGCAGGGCATGTTGTGATGTGATATGGTCAAGACATGATGTGATATACGTTATTGTATGAGATGATCATGTTTTGTAAAAGTTATCGGCAATTGGCGGGAGTCTTATGGTTGTTGCTTTATTGTATGAAATGCAATCGGCATGTAATTGCTTTACTTAATCACTATGTGTTAGCAATAGTTGTAGAAGCAATAGTTGGCGAGACGACAACGACGCTACGATGGAGATCAAGGTGTCAAGCCGGTGACGATGGAGATCATGGCGGTGCTTTGGAGATGGAGGTCAAAGGCACAAGTTGAGGATGGCCATATCGTGTCACATATTTTGATTGCATATGATGTTTATCTTTTATGCATCTTATTTTGCTTAGTACGGCGGTAGCATTATAAGATGACCCCTCACTAAATTTCAAGGAATAAGTGTTCTCCCTGAGTATGCACCGTTGTGACAGTTCGTCGTGCCGAGACACCACGTGATGATCAGGTGTGATAAGCTCTACGTTCACATACAACGGGTGCAAGACAGTTTTGCACGTGCAGAATACTCAGGTTAAACTTGACGAGCCTAGCATGTACAAACATGGCCTCAGGACACTGAGAACGAAAGGTCGAACTTGAATCATATAGTAGATATGATCAACATAAAGATGTTCACCATTGAA